GGGGGGGGCACAGTGAATGACCAGGGTGTCACTGGCCTCAGTCAGCTTGAAAATACTCTAGGATTCTGGGGATACCTTTGGCTTTGTGAATTTGGCAACAATCCAGGAGACATTCTTGGGAGGAGAGGGACTAGAAGGGAGAAAGGATTACAGCATTAGTTGGGTTGGGCAAGGTCATATGGTTCACCCACAGGCCAGACGAGCAGGAAGCACCCTCCAGCAAGCCCCCTGCAGATCTTCCATCTTGAACCTGTTCCATCGTCTACATTTCTCACAGAAAAGTCGTTGTTTTTCGTTAGCCTTCACATTGGAGAGCCTCGTTTGATTCTAATATTTATGCATTCACCACAGTTTTGAGGCACACATATTTTATGCTTTGAGGGTTGTGTCAAACCACCCACTAGAAGACAATTTACCCCGCCCTGTTCTCATGCCTTATATTGAATCTCTGTGTTTTCTCCCCCACTTCAGGGGAGTTAAACTTTCCAGAGACGCATCTATTTTATTTTATTGATTTAAAGTTCTGCTTCTTGATTTGATTAATCAATCCTGCTGGCTTTTTGCTTCATGATTAATGTGCAACTCTTATCTGCATTAATTGCTTCCTCCCTCTGTACTTTTATTCTGCGGTTCATTTTCTACTTATTCTGACTTCTTAATTCAATTATTTTCCATTTAAACAAGTAAGTATGTTTATTTTAGTAACAACACCTTTAGAGTATAGATTTTAAATACCACACGTTTTATATAGGGTCCCATTGTCTTAAATATCTAAATTGTCTAGCATAGAAGTATTGATCTCCACTTTAATAAAAAGCATATTTTATGTTATTTAATTTCCAAGCAGCTATTATCTGTTTTTAGCCACGCTCTTGCTATTTAATGTGATCAGAAGTAACATGTATACATTCTTTTCCTGGACCTTTTTTTTTAATTTTTGAGATTATAATATAATTATAACATTTCTCCCTTTGCTTTCCTCCCTCCGGACCCTCACACAAACCCCTCCTTGCTTTCTTTCACATTCCTGGCCTATTTTTCATTCATTGTCATGGTATACATTTGTATGTATCCTAAATAGAGCCTGCTCAGTCTCTGTGTTACTCGTATGTATGCTTTCAGGGTTGACCACTTAGCACCAGATTAACCAACGGTGTGCTCTTCCCTGAGGAAGACTGCCCCTCCCACTCTCAGCATTTCTTAGCTTCCTGTGGTTCTTTATATTGGGCTGAGACCTGTTTCCCCCATCCACAGGGCACATCTATTGTCCTTGTTCAGAGCGTGTTTGGGCAGTTACGTTAATGACTGGCTGTAGCTTCTGACATTGCTAGGAGACACAGTCTCACAGCAAACTCCCTGATTCGCTGTCTCTTAAAATCTTCCCACCTCCTCCCTCTTCTGCATTGCTTCCTGGGCCTTAGGAGCAGGAGTTGCTTTGCAGGTGTAGCCACTGGAACTGGGTGGGCATTTATAACAATTCTTCATTGGGAGAACTGTCATGGATTTCTGTGGAAATGGTCCAGACACTGAATTAGTCAGAATAGGGAAGCAAAGCTGAAACAACAACCAACTTAAAAAAAAATGACGGGGGCTTAAATAACAAAGAATCTTTCAGCTATTTACCCTGACTTGTTGAGCTTCTAAACCAACACCGAAAGTGTCGACTCCCAGATCCTCCTGAGAAGAAAAACTAAACTCATGTTTGCACAAAGCAGTGTGACTGGGCCTCTCATTTTCATCTGAAAGCATTTCTGCCTGATAAAAGAACTCAGTGTGTAAACAAGACATACAATTCCCATCTTCAGTGGATAACAATGCTTTGAAGGTATTTTGTGGATGACTGAAAGGAATACCAAATACACACCTGTAACTACAGAGCAGACGGTCGATGCTTCCAGCTTACCACTGATGTATTAAAAACATGAAACAAGGCTCCTAAAATGTAAAAGTTGTTGAACTGAGCGACTTTCAAATAATAATCCACTGCACTTTCTATTTATATATGAAATTTTCTATAAAATACATCATTCATTCTCTTTACAGAACAGTTTTCCAGTAAACATTTTATCAAAGCTGTATCCATACCAACACTATTTTAGCCACCTTTCTGCATTACTATTGGTTCGTTACTGTTTTTTAAAACACCTTTTAACAATTGAGGTCTATAATTCACCCATTTAAAGTGTACAGTTTGTTACGGTTTCTGGTGCAGTCAAAAAGTCATGAAGATGCCTCTTATCTTAGGCACGGTTTCTATCACTGTGATGAAGCACCATGACCAAAGCAATGTAGGGAGGAAAGGGTTTATTCCGCTCACACTTCCACATTGCTGTTCAGCACCAAAGGATGTGAGGACAGGAACTCAAACAAGGCAGGAACCTGGATGCAGGAGCTGATGCAGAGGCCATGGAAGAGTGCTGCTTACTGGCTTGCTCCTCATGGCTTGCTCAGCCTGCTTTCTTACGGAACTCAGGAACACCATCTCAGGGATGGCACCACCCACCAAAGGCTGGACTTGTCCTCATTGATCACTAATTGAGAAAATGCCCTACAGGCTTGCCTACAGCCCTATCTTATAGAAGCATTTCCTCAGTTGAGGCTCCCTCCTCTCTGATGACTCTAGCTTGTGTCAAGTTGACATAAAACTGATCCCTCGTCAACTTGACACACAAACACATCACTATTAAGTCACAACCCTTCCTTTCTTGTTCATCCCCAAGATGACACAGCAATATCAGTATTAGAAAACGGTCTACAAACTTAAAAAGACCCACAGTCTTTACAGATTCAAACACTTTAAAATTCAGTCCTTTTAAAATTAAAAGTCTCTTGTAAAACCTAAACTCTTTTAAAATTCAGTCTCTCAACTGTGGGAGAGACTGTAAAATAAAAAAAAATAAATAAATTAAATCAAATATATCCTTACTTTAAGAGGGAAGAATCAGAGCAGAGTCACAATCTGAACAAAGTAAACCTGAACGCCAACAATGTAAATAACCCAATGTCCAGTACCTGGGATCCACTCACCATCTTCTGGGCTCCTCCCAGGGGGCGTAGGTCACTTGTCTGGCTCCGCCCTCTGTAGCGCACAGTTTGTCTTCTGGACTCCGTTGGCTCCACTCCACTGCTGCTGCTGTTCTTGGCGGTCATCCCACAACATTGGCATCTCTGAAACGCCAGGGTCTTCTGCCGTAGCTGGGCTGCACTTTAACCAACAGTCTGCTATGCTCTCTTCATAGTGCCAAGCCTCAACTTCTCTACATAACCCCTTTGATCCTGGATCGTCAACTGCCTCTGAGGCTGCACCTTCATGACTGGACTTTCCTGGCCTCTCATAGTGCCAAGCCTCAGCTGCTCTTCATGATCCCATCATGCCTTCAAAACTAATACCACCTGAGTGGCTCAGACGCTACGAAGTTTGGTTGCCAACTCAAAGTTCAACCTTGGTTGCCTCTGGGACACAATTTCTGTATGCTGGCTCTCAGGAAACACTCCCCAGAAGATTTCACATCAGTGATGCTGGCCTTGTAAGCTTTGCTAATTTCTTGGTTCCAGCTAACCATCATCAATTGTCACAGTAACTCAAAGGCTTCATTTCAATGGCGCCAGTCTCTTGTTCATCGCTACCAACTCGTCTGCCCCAGCTGGCCAGAACTACCATTCTGTCGAATCTACACTCAAAACAGCGAACAGCCATGATAGAGCCTTGAAATTTCTCTCTGAAACTTCACAAGCCAAGGTTCCATCTTCTGCACTGCTTATCTTCCGAGCCCCTACAGAACATTCCACTGAGCTCTCAACACTCAATGGCTTTTCTAGCCTGAAGTCCCAAAGTCCTTCCCCAATCCTCCCTAAAACATGGTCAGGTCTGTCACAGCAATACTCCTACTACAACGGAACCAAATTGTTTTCGGCAGGGTTTCTATTGCTGCCCCCTGGTTGAAACATGTGGGGCATAAACTTTTCCTTATTTGTACTTTTGGCCAGAGTCTCACTCTGCTCTTGCTCTCCTTGAAGTTCTTCCTGTCTTGTTCGCACGGGGCACAGGCATGACAGCTGTGTTCCGCTCACCCTGCGGTCACCAATTCATTCACTCCACTCTAATGAGAATACATCCTGACTCCAACACCTTTAAACACATTAAGGTTCGCTGTACAGGATGCTGTGTGGTCTCCACTAGAGAACACCCCCGCGTGAACAGGAGAGTGTGTGCCCTGCTATTGCTGGGTGGGGTGTTTCACACCTAGTAGAGACAAACTCCAGGAGACTTGCTCTAAATCTAATGATCTAGATTAATAGCGTTCTCAGACTTCAGTTTCCATATTGATCTTCTATCTGTTTGTTCCATCCATCCAGAAAGTGGGGTATTGATGGTGTCCGTATTACACTGATTTTGGCAGGACACAATGCCCACCGACCTATATTGAAATGTCACACTGGACCCCAGGGGAAAAAGCACAACTCTTGTCAATCAAAATAAAACTTTTTAAAAGACAGGGTACTCAAGTCCCCAAATCATTTCTGCTAGATGACCTATTTCACTCTCATTCGGGTCCAAGTCTATCTCTCTAGACAGATGACTACAGGATTGGCACACCTTCCAGCTGGGTCAGTCCTCTCCCGACTCTGCTTTTTTGTCTGAAAGTCTATAGCGATGACGTCCACCTCACATCCATCTCGGAGTCCAAAGCACCTCCTGTCAGCATAGAGTGCCATATGTTTCTCAGCCCACCCTTACAATCTGGGTCGTTTTGCTCCTCTTGGATCATCTAATCCCCTAACATTTATGGACACAGCTAAAGCCACAGATTCCTTAATGGAACGCTAACTTCCTTGTTTTGTTTCATTTTCCTGGAAAAGTTGCCTCAAAGACGCTACTCAGATGTAGGTGGCATTTGCTCTTGAAGGTCTGAGAGCATTTGTCTTTCATCTTCATGCAAAGCATGCAGCTTGAAAGCTATACACCCTCGGGTCATTATTCTCCTTCTCGAAACCCGGAGCCTTTAGGTAGTCAGCTCTGCTGGGAGCAACACGGCACCACGCCATCACTGGTCTGCCACATCTTACCTAATCGACTTTGGTTTGCCCTGGCTTAGTTTTTGAGGCAGTCTCGTGTAGCCCAGGCTGGCCTCACATTTGCTGTATAGTTGAAGATGACCTCGATTTTCTGTCCCCCTACTTCTCCCTCCCAAGTACTGGAGTTACAGGCACATGTATAAATCATCTGTGTTCTGCAGTTCTGGGGACCAGATCCCGGGCATCACGTACGCTCCAACTATGCCACATCCCTAGCCCCTTGCTTTATCTTTTGATACAGGGTCTTGGTGTGTACCTCACGCTGGCCTCAAGCCTGAGATGTTCCTGTTCCCACCATCAACACACTGGGATCACAGGCCGTGCTCTGCTTGGCCACATAAACATTTATATCAACCATCGTTGACTTAAACACTAACTGTACTTACCTAACTCTAATGCTCATCTGGTTGAACGGTGTATTTAGAACTTATAACATTCTACACAGAATGTCCACACAGAACTGAAGGTTTTCACAAAAATAAAGTCAAGAGAGGTCAATGCCAACCACCCCCCCCCCCAAAAAATGGGCTTTATTAGCCATCCTTCATGCCAATGGACTCTGAGTCCAAAAGAGAACAGATGCCGTGTGTCAGACCATGGAACTGTTTGTTTAACTGACTTCAGTCCCAGAAAAATGAGGGACATATGTCCTTTGGACTACAGCCTATTCTCCCTGTCAGTCTCTGAAAAAAAAAAAAGCCTTTTCTGCTCTATTCATAATGCCCTGTCCAGTTAGCTACCTGGAAGGACAGGTGGACATTCTCTACAGCTCTCTAGAATATCCGTCCATGCTTGAAAGTTCAGGGCACGTCCCTCTGGCTGCGCTGCCCTTCACGGGTTTAACAGGGAGTAGGTGTAGCTTTGTTGGAAGAAGTGTGTCACTTGGGGAGGGCTTTGGGGTTTCACATGTCCAACCCAGGCTCAGTGGGTATCTCTCTTCCTGCTGCCTTTGGATCTGGATGTAGAACTCTCAGCTCCTTCTCCAGCACCACATCTGCCTGCATGCAGCTATGCTCCCCACCATGATGGTGCTGGATTATAAGCCAGTAACAATTAAAGGCTTTCCTTTATAAGAAAGCGGTCATGCTGTGGTCATGGTGTCTCTTCACAGCAATAGAAACCCTAAGGCATGTTTGATGGGGGGGGATTCCTTTCACCAAACCTTTGGCCAGTATCCTCTCAAGGCTCTGTCTCAGTGGGCTGCTGGCTCCCTAACAGCGAATTCTCTTCCAGTTGATGCCTAAGAAGTCTGAGTGTGGCTGTGTCTCTTGCTTAGAGCTTTCCCTTTCATTAGAACAGTTCAGTGAGCTACTGGAGGGGAAGCATCAGTCATGTGAAGGAAAGCCATCATGTGACCTCTGAGGCCTTTCCTCTGTCACTTCTTTGCAGTTCCATCAGGAGAAAAAGTCAAAAATAAGAATCAAAATGATGTTGGAGATCATTACATGAAGAACAGATACTGAGAGCTGGTTCTCTCTCTCTCTCTCTCTCTCTCTCTCTCTCTCTCTCTCTCTCTCTCATAAACCTAAACAAGGTAGAAAAATACAATTATTTCTCTGCTAATCATGTGGATCAAGGTGGTTACTCGATTAGTATCTTTCTCTTCACTTGACTGTAAGCTACAACCCTAGTTAGTTCTGACTGTCGACTTGACACAACCTAAAGTCACCTGAGAAAGGAGTCTCAACTGAGGGATTGCCCACATTAGGCTGACTTGTGAGTGTATCCTGATTGCTAGTTGATGTAGACGGCCTAGCCCACCATGGGCAGCACCATTCCCTGGGCTGGTAGTCATGGGCTGTAAAGAAAACTAGCTGAGCAAGAAGCAAGCCACCAAGCAGCATTCCTCCTTGGTTTCTACTTCAAGTTTCTACCCCAACTTCCCTCAGTGAGGCACTACGAACTGGATCAAGTTGAAGCCAAATAAACTTTTCCCTCTTCCTGCTTTTGGTCCAAGTGCTTTATCACATCAACAGAAAGGAAACTAGAAAAGCTCTGTAAAGGCAAAGAACGTACCTGCTCTGCCATGTCCTCCTATCCTTTACCATAGCCTTGGTGTCCAGCATACAGCGGGTAGTCCATAAATACCTGTGGAATGAATGAGAAACTCTGGGAAATACTGGTTGCCAGGTGGCATCTACAACAAAATGAAGGGTTTACTGGCACTGTAGTTCTGCGTTCTGTCCACAAGAGTTTCGCCTGGAAGATCATTAACTCTCAACACGGAAAGCGAAGGGGCCAAGGGCTCACCTTCTGTGTCTCGATCCTGGTGACACACTGAAAGCTGGAGCCAGCAGGGAAAAAAAAAACCCACGGGTACCCTCGAGTCAACAGAATATGCAAAGCCACGGATATAGGAAATGCCTTAAGTCAGAGGTGCCTGAGATTTACGGTTTGGATCTGAAATGTCTCCACAGCCTTCATTTGAATGCTTGATCCACAGGGAAAGGTGTCCAGCCTGTGTCCCCGAGACCACATGCAGCCCCGGATAGCAATGAATACAATCCAATATGAAATTATCAATCGTGAAGATTCGTCTGTGATTTGCTTTATTTTATTTTATTTGTAATTCAATTGCATGGTTCTTGAGTGTGAACTTCGGAGACGACAGCATCCCATTACAATGTCAACAGGTTGAACACCCCAGCTAGCAGGACCATGTGTGGCTTTTAGGAGGTGGGGGAAATAGGTCACCATGAGAAGACCTGTCATGGTTCTATCAACCCCTGGCTCCTATTCCGCATGAGTCACCTTTCACCACATGCTCTCTACACTGTGAGCTCCTCCGTGCTCCCCTCATTATGGGCAGATACTCCTCTGAAACCATGAGCCAAAACAAACTGTTCTTCCTTTCTGCCATCTCTACCTGGCGATTTGGTCACAGTGGAGTAAAAGTGACTAACGCAGGACTTAAGAGATATTTGACAGTGGAGGTGAAAGGGCAGGAGGGCTGACCTGGTTACAGGATCAGAAAACACCTTAACAGAATATTAAAGGGTATTAACATTTCTCCTATCCATTCCTCCCTCCCTCTTCCTCCTGTCATCCCCCACCTCCTTTCTCCTCTTCTTCCTATAATTCTGGAAGGTAAGGCAATCAGTGTCAAAAGAAGTATAGATGAGACAGGGCACAGGCTGTACTACAAAACAGCCAGGGACATGGTAACTTAAAGAATTAGCTTTTCGTTTTCCTCCCCTGTCCAGAGCTGCAAGGCTGCACCACCCGCCCACCCCTGATAGGTGCCTTCCATTGCTGCCCTAGGCAGTTTCCCCAGGAATCAAGATCTGGGGAAGAGAGGAGGTGGAGGGTAAACTGCTTCCCTCTTAACGATGCAATTTGGAAGTTGCACAGAGAACTTCCTCTTACATCACACTGGCCAGAATTTATGGGTGACCCTACTGACCTGAGACAAGGAACTGGGGCTTTGGTTGGATAAAGAAGAATGAAAGGTGGAAGATGAGGTCATTAATCCAGACAAGTCAATGTGCTCCCTAGTGCCTCTTTCACACTTTCATAGGCCAGAGGAAGAAGCAGGATGGCCCACCCTGCCCTTCTGCACAGACCCTCTGGATCCAACATCACTGCCCTCCAGCCTACATCACTGTCCTCCAGCCTACATCACTGCCCACCAGCCTACATCACGGCCCTCCACGCCTTCTGTGAGTACCTGACTCAATCATCACCTCCTCATGTACTTAATGGGACTGCGTTCCAAAGTTAGAGTGCTGTCATCAGAGAGAGCAGGGATTTTCAGCCTAACCTGCTCACTGGAACCACAGCATCATTTAAGGCCAATTTGATTAGAATCTCCAAAGTAAGTTCTGTGACTTAAAATTTGTATTCATTTTTGTGTATGTGTGCACCTGCTTGTCTATATGTGTACCACATACATGCAAGAGCCCTTGGAAGCAAGAAGAGGACGCTGGATCCCCATGGCCTGGACTTACAGGACTGTGAGACACTGGCGTGGTGCCTGGGTCTTCTGCAAGCGCAGCAAGTGCTCAAAACTGTGGACCTTCTTCTCCAGTCCCAAAGGTCTGTCAGTTTGCATTCCCAAGAGGGAAATCTAATGTGTCAGAGGAAAGAGACCTGGGGAATTAATGTTTAAAAAAATACAACTAAATTTCCACCAACGACATAAAAGAGTTGTTCCTTTCTACTTCATGAGGGAGTGCCTTGCTTCTCACTAGTGGAACAAGAGCTGATCATCTTATAAACTTTGTATCGTATGTACTATGTTCATCCTTGATAAGGGAGGGGTGGGAAGGCTTTGTGTTTCTGGGTATGTCTTTGAAAGAGTGGTGTGTGTGTGTGTGTGTGTGTGTGTGTGTGTGTGTGTGTGTGTGTGTAAAATCCAGATGTAAGGTGTCTTCAATCTATCTCCACCTTATTTTCCAAGACAGGCCCCTCGCTGAACCTGGAACTCCTCTGTTCAGCTAGACTGGCTTGCCAGTTAAGCACCTGCCGTATCTCCCAGCACCGTGATTGCAGGCACATGCCTATATCCATACTGTGCTCTATACTGTGCTTTTGTTTATATGTGAGTGTGGTGTCCTCATGCTCATAGGGTAAGACTTTGCTACCTGATCCATCTTCCTAGCCAGATGGCGTAGACTTCCCAAACCTTTCCCAAGTCAACAAAACCCTAATTCTCTTCTAGAAGCTTCAGCCTTAGGACTTTTCAAATCAGCAGTAAGCTAAGTTTCTGTGTTGTATGTCCCTTCTTTGGCCTTTCCTCTTAGATAAAAACCAATGGTTTTTATCCAATGAATACATTTGTCTTGGTATTCTACGTAATGAAACAGAGCCACAAAACTGATAAAAAAAATTGTTTCAGGTCACAAAATGATATGGCTGGGGTTTGAACACAGAAGGCCAGGCTTCAGGCTCCATGACTCCTGCCTCCCGTGCCGGAGCATTCCTGAGGCAAGAAATGGGGTGGTTCCTTCAAATTCTATGAATTTTGAAGAGTAGGAGGGTGCAAAACTGCATTATTTGGGACAATTATTTGTGGGTGCAAAACTGCATTATTTGGGACAATTATTTGTGGGAACTCTAAAGACGCTAACAAGTTTGGACTTGACATCCCAAGGTCTGAGCTTAGCTCCACCCAGTTCTACCTGTTTCCCCAGGTGAGTCTACTCTGGAGCCTCCAAAACACCTCTGTGCTAGGTGGTGTCTGAGAAGGGGCTTCCTTCCTCCTTCTCTGTACCCAGACAGCTCGGCAAACACGAGCCACCTATCTGTGACCACAAAGATTTTGGCTCTCACCTGGCCGGCAGCCAGAGAGGTCCCGGTACACAGGCGGAGACTCTGCCCTCAGTCCAAAGGGCGAGGCTAGCTGCCGAGGCCCATTAACCCCTACGCAAGGGCCCAGGGAGGTCTGTTTATGGGATGCAAGGGTAGCTGTTAAGTAGGAAGCGCTGTGGGCTTCACTCTTTTGTTGTTCCCTGTCGGCATAGCCACTCTGACAGGCTTTGTCTGATACAGGGGCATTAATTTTTTATGCTGTCCTACTACAGACACAGCGATTAGACTGGGCTATGATGAAGGAAATTCGGGTGCAATTGGAATTCCGGAGATGCCGGGCTACGGGTCACATCACGCTCCACCTCAGCCTCTTGTCCCCACGACACTGCTGGCTGCTGCTTTACATGCGGTCCTGTGGCTCCACAGAGCCAGAGGTGACTGCTGAGGAGAGGGAGTACAATATTCTCCGCCGGTAACAGGAAAGTTGATTAAGAAAAATTCACTCCCTCTATCTGGTTGCTGATCTCCTGTTTATCTTCATTTGAACCATCCTGGCTAGATGTGTTTTAATTGCAAGGCACTTCCATTCTTTTTCCGGAAGCAGGCAGGGCATACATTATAAAATAAATAAATGATTAAGAAACATCTAATTATTGTTATTAGTTTCTTACTTGGAGGGACTTCCAAGCTGCTGTTTATTAAAGTCATTCATCAAGGAGCCACCGTGCCCTTTCCAGAGGCACTGCTCCCAGGACCAACATGGGACTGGCTGTCTCCTGCTGCACGTGGGGCTTAATAAACATGGGCAATATTGATGGCTGCAAATTCCTCCCTCGGCCTAAGCTCCAGCATGATGGATTGATGCTTCCCAAACATGGAGACTATTTCTCCGGCCATTCATCAACCCCACCACAAACACAGGTGTCAGCCTGAGCCACGTCAGACTCTTAACCACCTCCCCCGAGCAGAGGGAAGGAAGCCTGCATTTCCCACCCAGGGACCTCATCAATTTTTCATGCACTGCAGTCCCTTGACTTGTTAAATATTTATAACAATGTCATTATTTACCAAACAAGCTACCCGGCTGTGTCAGAGCCCCCCAGAGAAAAACTCGGGAGTATAGAGAAGGGCCCTCCTCTGAAGAAGCTTCAGGGCAAGGGTGGTTGGGCCCAGCAGGCAGATCTCTCGGCCTTTCTCTTGGTATGTGTCCTGAGGAATCTCTAAGGCTTTTGACAGGTGACTGCAGGGTGGAGGTTAGCCCCCCTCCCCCACTGGAGACCACAGCACTAGGAAACTAAGGAGAGAGCATTGTGTCAGGGTTGTTCCTACCAGGGACCCACCTGGCTGCTGGGGCTGCCACGCTGCTGACCTTACTGGTCCCCTTCGGTCACTGCTCCGCGTGTCAAGAGAAGAGCTGTGTGAGCCTTCCTGGCCGTGGAAGAAGAGAAGCCTGAAGACAGCAAAGAGCCTCAGTCATTCCGCAAGGCTCTCCTGAGTCTGACAGGGGCAGGAACTCAAAGGACATGATGTGGCCACCTGCGAAGAAAAGAACCCCCTCCCCGTGCATTTTGTGACAAATCCCATGCCCTCAGGGGGAATGCCAGAGGCTTCCTCCACCTTGCTTGCTATTCTATGCAATGGCTCTAGCAATAGTCAAATAACCTTTCACAGGGGCCATGTAAGACCATCCTGCAAATCAAATATCTACATTACAATTCATTCCAATATTGAAATTACAGTCATGAAACAGCAACAAAGATGGCTATATGGTTGGGGGTCATCACAACGTGAGGAACGGTATTAAAGTGTTGCTGCCTTAGGAAAGTGGAGAACCAATGAGCTAGACCCAGATCTATTCAGTGGGAAGGGAGGAAGGGTTTTTAGGAAGCAGTGCCGTCCTGAGAAACATTTTACTTCCTTGCTGGTGGGGAGGTGCGGAGGCTCTGGAAGGAGTTGGGGAAGGAAAGCTGTGATCAGTATATATTGTGTGAAAAAAAAAAAAAAAAAAAAAAACAAACGGGTCTTTTTATCCAAGAGAAAGAGAACAGTGAGAAACCTGGCTGCAGAAAGGCCCTACTTTCTCACCTGGTGTTGTCACCTTCTCAGAACTATGGCAGTCACTAAGGACAACTCTGAAAACAAAGCCACTAGGAAGAGCAGAGAGAAAAATAAGTCCCTCCGTTCTTGATGACACAGTGAGGGAGAATGCTTCCTGGCACCCACCATGCCTCTGGACTTGGAATGAAGAGAGGTTTTGTTTTGTTTCTTTTATTGAAAACACATTTTTTTATACACTATTTTCCCCTCCATTAACTCCTCCCAGTTCTTCCTTCCCTCCCAGGGTCCACACCCTTTCTGTCTCTCCTTTAAAAAAAAAAAAAAAAAGAAAAGAAAGAATAATAAGATACAATAAGATAAATTTTAAAAAAGACAAATCGGAATAGGACAAAACAAACAAACAAGGAAAAAAAAAGACCCAAAGAAAATAACAAAAAACACAAAGATGAAGAAATACACATGCTTGCACCAACAGGAGTCCCTTAAAAACATAAGACATGAAGCCATAAAAAATTTTTCAAAGGAACTGTAAGGTGTCAAGAAAATCCCTAGTTTAACATTATGAAACAAAGAACCTCCAAAGATGCTGTTGAGTTCACTTTGTGTTCGCAGTCTACTGCTGGGCACGGACCCTTAAGAGAGGTTTGTTTCAGGTTCCCTATCCTCAGCTTGCCAAGGGACTAACTGGGGACATCGCCTTGGGCTCCTGGGAGCCACTCTAGGTTCAAGTCTCTTGCCAACACTAAGGTGGCTCCCTTAACTAAGATATGTGCTTCCCTGCTCCCCTATCCAACCTTCCTGTATCCCAATCTTCCTGTTTCCCCAAGTTCCCCCAATCCTCCCCTTCTCACTTTTCTCTCCCCGTCCCCCCTTATCCCCAACCCACCCCACCCCCAAGATCCCAATTTTCTCCCCGGCAATTTTATCTACTTCC